ATCCACTCTTCACCCAACCTGCCTTATTGGACCCCCAAAGAAGGAACACCAAGAGCTATTAGTTTTAGACCTCATCAATCCGGGCTCTAACACTTGGAATTGGGAAGTTATAAGAGAGATTTTACCTCAGTATGAGGAAGCTATACGGCTGCTACGAATTAAAAATCTAAGACATGAAGATAAGAGAGTTTGGCTACCGGTCAAGACAGGCCAATACACAACCAACTCTGGCTACGGTCTCCTCGCTACGACTGATTCACCAGAACCATATGATGGTTTCAACTGGCAGTCTCTGATTTGGGGAGTTAAAACGTCACCAAAGGTCAAAACCTTCCTATGGAAAGCTAAGTCTGGTGCTTTATCAATTGGAGCCCAGCTTGCCACACGAGGACTAACGGATGCAGAGTATTGTAAACGATGTGGTGAACGGGAGACAATTGATCATCTACTTCTAACTTGTCAATTTGCAGCTGCGGTTTGGCACTTAGCCCTGGTTTATATCAAAATTGCACCTCTTTAGGTGAACTGCTTCAATATGCAAAAGGAAAGCCTAACTTACCACCGACGGGGCTAAACAATGAAGAGCTCTACCCGTGGCTTTGTTGGAACATTTGGATCGCAAGGAACCAATTCGTTTTCAATAACAGATGCTTCTCGATCTCGGAAACTATTTCCAAGGCAGTGATTGAAGCTAAGGCGTGGCAAGAAGCACAAAAACAGCTCCAACATGTCGTTTCCTCTCAAGGTAGAGTAACGGATCCAACATGCTATAACTCCAGGGACTAGAGAGTATTTGTTGATGCGGCCTGGGAGTCAAGCTCCGGCAAGAGTGGAATAGGCTGGCACTTCCAATCGCCGATTGCTATGAATCTGGAAAGCTTCTCTGAGGGATTGCGGCACGTCCCGTCAGCTCTCGCAGCAGAGGCAAAGGCTATTGCAGCGGCTTTAAAATCAGCCATCGAGCTGAACAGATTGAAGCTCATTCTCCACTCGGATTCGCAAATCATGGTTAAACTTTTAACCTCAAGCGATCATCACAATGAGTTATTCTACATATTGCAGGACATCAGAGAACTACAAGCTCAATTCTCCTGCATAAATTTTATTTACATTCCACGAAGTCCAATATCTTGGCCGATTCAATTGCAAAACAAGTTTTGAACTTGTTATCCTCTGTTTCAAACGTTTAAGTTGAATGAAAAACTTGTTGACCAAAAAAAAGATTGGGTTACTAAAATGATTTAGGCATAAGTTGATCCTAAATGATTTAATAACTCTTAAAAACATGCATAAACCTAAATTTTGTGGTATTTCTCTTTTTTAATTAAAGAGTGAAGCAAATAAACGACGATGATCGTGTATATGACATTACACATATGCTTGTTACTTACTGATAATCGAATACTACAAAAAAAACTTTGTTCATTAACGTAAATCAAGAAGCAAAGCGACTTGAAAACTAACCGATAACGTCCGGAATATTACGTCCGTTGCAAAACCGACCGGTTGCACCTTGTGGGTAATCTATACCATAAGGTGAATAGTTGACCTTTGCAACGGTGTTCAAGACATTATTGTTGCCATTGTCGAAGACAGAGTCTCCAAACACGAAGTAACACGGTACTTGTTGTCCACGCGCCGCTGGTAAAACCGCGGTGGCTGCTGCTGCAAACACTGTGGCAACAACAATCCACAATGCCTTGGACTCTCCCTCGACCATTTTTCGCAAATCTATTTATACGAAAAAATGATGAGAGAAAATGTTGAATAGAGAGATAAGGAGAAAGAGAAGGTTGGCTTACTTTGTATTTTTATATGAATATGAGATTGGCAAGTTCTTGATTGGTATGTAAGGTGTTTCGATTATTAGGAAAGTGTAAGACTATATAAAGGACGAGGCCATGAGCGAATTAAGGGAGACATCGAAAACTATATTTATTGTTTTGCATGTATTAAGAGAGGTTTTCTTTTAAATATTTGTGTCCTTGAAGTGGACGTTTTATAAACTAATTTTCGTTTATTATAATATTCTTAATTGCACAATATCTTTTTCACTATGGCCTAAGAATATTATTTATAGTGTTTAATTTCATTTCGTATGCAATTCACACACGGACGCTTCCATATTTAAGTTCTAGATATGATACAACATTGTTTGTTTTTTTTTTTGAAAAAGGATACAGCATTGTTATTAATACAAACCAACTTCAGCCGAATACTTTGTCGTTATTTTCGTATTTTTTAATTAATAAGTTTATACGAAAATATTCAAAAAGAAAGTTTAAACTAAATTCTTTGTAAAAATAAGCAAATTGTTATGAAAAGTCAAATAAACAAAAATTATTGTCTTTACTAAAAAGTGCTTAGACAAAATTTCCCAAACCAAACAAGTCCACGACGAGCCCATGCAAAAAGTTTCTTAAGATATGCCAGATTCTACCAAATGCAAATGAAACGTAACCATACGTTATGTCTTAACAATTATCCACGAATAATTTATTACTCTTTCCCAAAAAGATATTTTAGCGAGTAACTAAATAGTATTTGGGCCTTCACAAGCCCTAAATCAGTTTTGAACAAAATCCAGAAGAAAAAAAAAACTATTTTTGGAGGGCACTTTATTTTGCGTATGTGTATGTAGATTACGGAAACACTTTCTTCACATGAGCGACGGTGAGATTGGGTGCATCAATTTAATACAAGTTAGATTTGCATACCTAAACCTGGCGGCGATGTGTAATATCTCGACGATGG